TTAAGATATTGTCCATTATCATCATATATCCTTCTCACTTTGTGTATAGTTTCCTTAACATTCCGATAAAAGCTTTCTATTTCTTTTTTTACGCTAACACATGTAGGTACATAAACATGAATGATGACTAAATCAAAGAGGTTTGCCCAGAACCTGACTAATATACCCTATCTGAGGTAAACCAGAAGCCTTTCACTATTACCATAATCTCTATGTGATGTTGTTCCCCCGGTGGGTTAGCGATAAGGTTAGGGAGTTACAATGCAAAAATCCGGGATTCGATTCCCCGGGGTGAATAGAGTACAGATAACTCATTGTATAGCTTTACGTTACAAAATCCCAAACTTTTTGATGTTCATCTACTTCTGAATACATATACTCACAGCCTTCATTCATAAAAGCCACTGAACTATCCTGTTTATGTATATCATAGTCCAATCTTTTCAACATTGATCGTCATCTTGACATAAGATTCCCCGTTGCAGCTTTTATGGAACCAACATTAAAAACAAAGTGTCCCATAGTAGTGGGCCTTACCAGAATTCCACTATCGCGGAATTCACTACTTACAGGAACACAATATATTTCTCCTTTCGTTTACTACTTCACTTTGATAAAAGAAATACCGTGGTACAAATAAGTCTGCAAACTAACACAACTACGAAATGTGTGCGCAAGGGGATCATCTTCAGGAAACAACACTGGCGTCTCTCGAGTATGTAGTATTTTCTACAAAAATAAGACAATTTGTTGTCAGGCATCTTCCATTTCCTCTCTTCGGTGACTGAAGTTATAAGCGGATTGACTGTTTCCAACCGAATCTTTCCTCATTATATTTTCCTTGAGGCACTAAGCAGCTTTGAATGCCTATATCCTATATTACATATTACTATCTCCATTGTTTTCAGAATACATACTTGATATATTTTCCAACTTTCTAAAATTTTGAATTTCAGTCAGATTATTACAAAACTATTTTGTGTAATAAATGATAAAGATAATTGATAGACGAAGAACCAAAAACGGAATAAATTAGTTTTTTTCATTACCAAAGTACTTTAGATGCCATAAATATATGGAATGGTTTCAGCGCTTTTCGGACCCCACGTCTTTCTGTGAGTCAGGGGCAAATCTTGACTTTTATCGCTAAAACCTGGGGTTCGATTCCTCACGGTGAACTAGGCGCAAAAATCATTATAAAACCACAACAACACTGCCATAAGACTTGAAGATATCCATAATACATAATTATGTACATGATATATTGTACATATTAAACTACTGTACATAAAATTTTATTATTTTTAATATAATGCTGTGTAATAAGAACGTGATTTTCGTTTCTTAATTATAAGCAAGGTAACAGTGATATTTGTTAGTTCACTGAAATCATGCAGAAATCATAGAGACTTATTCAGAAGTGCAATATAATTAAAAAACATTACACTCAGTTTCAAAACTATTGTTTACTGTTCTTTTACAACAACTTAAAATTCACAAATCGAGTACTTAAGTTTTACAACTTTTGTTGAAATATTTAGCTTTTCTTATCTTTAACATTTTTTATCATGAGTCATGATTTTTAATATGACGTTTGGTTTACATTTATTGATGTTTTAACTGTAAGGATACTTAATGGATATTGTGCCATATATGCTAAGTAATGCAGTAACGATAATTCTAATTCTGTGCACTAAATGCTAAGGATGTCGGATTCGGTGGGACTTCTTTTGAATACTTTTGTTAGTGTTATATCCATTATACCGTGCTTTTATAAAGTTTTACAGTAAACATTAATTTTCTTACAGCGTGTTACGTCTGTTTCGTTATAAAATTTACAAACAATTCTCCATTGAATTTGCACTTTGCAATGTACTTTTTAAGGTATGCTCTATTCATTAGACCATAAAATTTGTAGGTGATATACAATTAACTATGTGGATACATTGTAAAAAAGAATGTCGAAAGTAAATAATTCATTTTCTCACGTGCTAAACAAAAGAGATCTGAAATGATCTTTACATTTTTAGCGTGTGATTTCTGGACCGCTTTATGCAACTAACTAAAAAAGAAGAAGAAAAGAAAGGTGTTGCATTGGATCACTCTACTATGTCCATATATTCGAATTGCTCACCCATACAATTGCAAGCATTGATTATTTATAAAAAGACATGCAGGTAGTGTATATTATAATGCTTACGAAAATTTTTTTGACACTTTGAAAGGAGCGCGAGATCTTTGGTATACAATGCTTCTGTAACTTTGCAACACACCATAGAGTGCATACAGAATGAAAACGAAATTGTAAGAAAGACTAGAAAAAATGAATTATATATATATATATATATGTTTAGTACTTGAAGTAATTGGAAAACTTTTAAAATATTGTTTTTTTTTCACAGTAATGAAACTACATGAAGATGTTATTTTACACTTGAAGGTTGTAATGTTTTAAATATTTGTTATTTATAAAACAAAGAACAAAATAGTTTACAATATTTCAAAATCAAAATTCTGCAATTGAATAAGTTATGATGATGTGATTTAACGATTTACGAATGTAATTTAAACTTATATTAGCCAAAACTTTATCACTATTCAGGAATAAGATTAAAAGATAAACCGATACGCATGCAAGACGTGTTTAAAATGTAACTCATACAATTACTGATTGTTTGACTAGGTAGGTGCTTATAAGTAATCATATGATGATTTTCAAGCGTTGTAGTTAGTTTTTATATGGTATACTAGATCTATCAATTTTTGGAAAATTGTTTTTCCATTATTTTGTAATATATAAAATATACTACTTTATTGAGCTAAAATAATTAGTTTTCTGAACACATTGCGAATTTTACATTTTCTAATTCAATTATCTTTACAATGCTACTTCAATTGGAAATCTTGCCCAAACTTATTTCGCGGTATTTCAAATATTCAATATATTTTACTCAAATAACCTAAATTTTCACTGTCTTGATGTTATCGTTTACAGTTTCCTTTGTCATATATTCAGATTTTTCCAGACACTTGGTTTGATTTACACAGCACCTTTCTCTTCATTTTCTTAACTACTACACAAGTCAGCTAGCTTGTTTAATGAGTAATGCAAGTTCAATAGTGCCCGGCATGGCCAGGTGGATAAGGCGCTCGACTCACAATCTGAGGGTCGCGGGTTCGAATCCGCATACCACCAAACATGCTCACCCTTTCAGCCGTGGGGGCGTTATAATGTGACGGTCAATCCCACTATTCATTGGTAAAAGAGTAGCCTAAGAGTTGGCGGTGGGTGGTGATGACTAGCTGCCTTCCCTCTAGTCTTACACTGCTAAATTAGGGACGGCTAGCAGGAGGGTTCAAATGATTTATTGGGGGTGCAAGCAATTAGGGTAGAGTTAATAGTGCAGTAATGCAAAATTAAGCAATTTAATATATATTTTTCATATATGTGAAAATATTAACTAATTACTACAACATATATAGCATTTTAATGTGTATCTGTATATTATATCTCTTCAATTAGCTCACTCTTTTACTCTGGGAAATGCTAGTGTAAAGTGTATAGAAGACTATTTAAATGTAGGTCATTTAACAGAAGAATCTATTGCATTTAGCATTTTCATACAGGGAGGATAACTTTGATAATTTTAGTCTTTAGACAGGAGTAAGAATGTGTTTAAGAACTCTGGGATAACATATACAAAGTCGATTTATGTAATTAGATAGATGTACATTATATTACTATAAGTGTTGAATTAACACACCTTGAGAAGTAGAACCCATTTTAGGAGGAAGTGAGCAAATGTGACATTAGTTATAGACTGTACTTTATTACTGACTTTCCACAAATCTGGTGGAATAGATTGCCTCTCCTCTTACAAAATAGCTTTAAGTCTAGTGAGATTTATTTTATAATCTGCTCCTCAACCATATTAAAAACAACTCTCCCAAAATAGTTTAATTCTAGTTAGTGCTCTGGGCTAACTAAAGAAGACTGAAGATTACTTTGTATCAAGGCACTGCTGAACATGGTGCAGAGTATAATAAGATGTATCATCATGCTTCAAGATGCATGATTCTACCAAGTAGAATTCCATCAGTGTGAGCTGTGTGGGATTGTCCAGAATGTTAAAGTATGTCTAAGCACTCATGTTATTTTTAACTATTAGCAGTGGTCCAAGTTCAAATGAGCTAAAACAGACCTATATCATGATGCTACTTCCAAAACGTTTATGAACTTGGAAGATAGTCGTCTCTTGAGTGTTCTCCAGGTCTCCATCAAACTTTATATTTTATGAACTTGGAAGACAGTCATTTCCTGAGCATTCTTCAGGTCCCCATCAAACTTTATCTTTTTTGAACTTGAAAGACAGTCGTCTCCTGAGTGTTCTCCAGGCCCTCATCAAACTTTATCTTTTATGAACTTGGAAAACAATCATTTCCTGAGTGTTCTCCAGGTCCCCATCAAATTCTGTCTTTTCTGAACTTGGATGACAGACATGGTGATAATAAACATGTGACTCAGAAATCCATACTTTTCAAATGCTGGACAGTGAATTTTCAGATCAGTAGCCAGGTTGTTTTTTGTCAGTCATTAAACCAGGCTAGGATTCCCTTCGTTTTCACCCATATAAACAACACATTTTTCTTTGTTTTTAATTTTCAAAATTTTTCACCTATCAGTTACAAAACTAAATTAATGACAGGAAAAACACTCAGAAATGGATGGAGAGCCTCATCACACTAACAATAATAAGGTTTTGGTGATTGTGTATTTAATGAATCATGTGATAGTCTAACAGCAAAACTTAAATATTCCATTTACTGAATTATAAATTACATGTCAATTATTCTGTTTCTCCCAGTAAAGATGTTTTTATTTATGTATATTGCATGTTCAACTTGTAAAATCCCTAGCTTTGACTTGGTAAGTAACATATTCTTCAATAAAACGTTACTGTGTTTATTTGAAAGTGATAATTATTTGCTGAAAGTAAAGAACTGTGTGAAATGTTACATACATGTGGAATTAGGTGGATCAGTATGGCACCCAACAACCAATTGCTTTATTGAAGCTTCTCCTTGAACGAGGAGGTATCTTTGATAGAGGGAAAGATCTCAACTGGAAAAACATTAAGGATTTAGGATTTCTGGCAGCCATGGGAAAGGTTGGTTTTTAGAAATATCTATTGTATCATAATGAATAATTGAAAATCTAAACAAAATTTAACTTAGAAAGAAAAACTTACTTTGCCAAAAGAGGACTCACATGTCTTTTATTTTGTAGATAGTTTTTAAAATCGTGTAATATTATGTTTTGGTTTTATCCCTTTCCATCAAAATTTATCATTGGTAGGTGAGTTCAGGTCGGTTACCTAAAAATTAAAATATAAAATTGCATTCTTTTTGGTATTCTAAAACAGCAGTTTTTATTCTATAATTGCATAAAAAATGTATCATAATGCTTAAATGAAATTGTAAACTTGAACTTACTTTGTAAGTCAAAATAATCAGATATGGTGTCGGTTATTTATGTTCTCTGGCACTGGATTAGGTAATGAAAGAATTACACGATAAATAAAAATAATTGTCATTGCATCTTTCTTTTTGCTGATCAACTAAAATATTATTTTTTGTACAATAGTTTCAAACTTAATCCAGTCATTGCTAGGTAAAAGAAATAAACTCACTTGACAGGAACTAAGGCATGGTTTACTGATTTAGACAACATTCTGGAAATGAAGTCTTTGTTATAAATTATCTAACTCAAAAGTAAATCCTAGTTTTATATAAAATTAACTAATGGAGTATATATATTTCTAGAAATGCCCCCCAGTGGCACAGCGGTATGTCTGCGGACTTACAACGCTAGAATCCGAGTTTCGATACCCGTGATGGTCAGAGCACAGATAGCCCATTGTGTAGCTTTGTGCTTAATTACAAATAAACAATATTTCTAGAAATGCAAATTAAATTAAATAGCTACATTATTAGTAGGGTTTCTTTACAGAGTCTTTATTTTAAAAGTATGAAATCATACCTCAATACAAAAGAGTTGAGAGTTTTTTATTAGTTAAACTGTGAATTGTTTAAAAAACAACAACAAAGAAATATTTGTTCTGTTTTTTTTTATACCTATGATTTTATTGTACAACATATGATCGTGTGCAGAGAGCTAGTGGTAGGAGAGTAGAGTAAAACATTTTCAGGTAATGCAATCACATTGTGCTGTGTGAGAAAATGATTAAATTTAACTTATAGTTAAAGCATCTTATTATCATGTATGTCAAACAACTAGTTATGCTTGCCGAAAGTAAAGATAATTAATACATAGTAGAGATGGCTGATGATGTCTTAAGGAGGTTGAAACGTTGTTACTTGTTTTGTGTTTTTAAATAAAAGATTTAATACCCATATTAGCCATCTCTGCTATATATCTATTTACTTCAAGTGGGTTTCTTGTCATCATGAAAGATGAATAATGGTCATCTTATTAATCAATTCTAACTTGAATCTAATTTATTTTTTAGATTTTTTATAGCTAATGGACTGTAAATGGCATTATAATTCAGTTTAGTGTATTACAAACAAAAAGACAAAAGAAATAATAATTTGATTTTAAATATACAAGTACTTTTTCATAAAACTCAAAGTTAGATTAATGGAGAAGAATTTTTCGTGAAAATCCAAATATGTAAGGGAGCTTTTTTCCAATTAAGAAAAATATATTTTAGGGTTAAGGGGATGAATCATAAATCATGTTTGATTTGAATTGTTCAGCCTATCTTTAGTTTTTTAGTATGTTTGTATGCCTTTTGGTGATGCATTTATCTCTTCTTTTTTTTACATTCATCAATGACAAATATTTACATCATCATAAACATTTCTTTACCTTAGGCAGGAGGAGGGAGAAATGAAATTGACCCTCGGTTTCTTTCATTGTGCTGTGTCTTCAACATGACCTTCCCTTCAGATGACACTGTCTACCATATCTACTCTTCTATCCTAGAAGGTCATTTTCAGATGTTTTCTGCAGATATTCGTAGTCTCATTCCCAACATAACCAAGTCTTTACTAGCCCTGTACAAGGTGATAATTCAATCACTGCCCCCTACACCATCTAAGTTCCACTATATATTTAACCTGCGAGACCTATCTAGAGTTTGTGGGGGATTGTGTCTTACTACTCCTGACCGATTCACCTCTCCAGAACAGTTCATAAGGGTGTGGAGAAATGAATGTCTTCGTGTCTTTTTTGACAGACTTATTAATGATGAAGATCGAAGTATGGTCCAGGTATAGTCAAATTGTTTTTAACACACTTTTTTTTAGCTATATTACTTAAAAATTTAAATTCATGTACCTTATTCAAAACAGCTTGCAATTCTTTTGCAAATTTTAGTCGTGTTATAATTTTTAGCAATTTCATATTGTGACTGATTTTACTTGTGATGGAAAAACTTAGAATGTGATTCCGTAAGATTCTGTCTACTGACGATTTCCAGATAGCATTTAGATTGTTATTGAATAATGACCTCGCTGCACCAGGCTGTTTTTTTTAATTAAAAACTGTAAATAATTCAAATATTATTCAGAATGATTTGAAAAACCGTAAACCTTTTTCCCTATCCTACGTGAAACATTAGAAAATTTTTCTTCGGTGTAGATTTTAAATATTCATTTAGAATCGTAGTATTATTAATATGTGATGTTTTGTCATTACATATTTATGCAATCTTTGCCACCGACAATATATATAATTCCAAAACCATCCCCTTACCTTTCTGCACAAAGTAGCCTTTTCTCTCTTTCTCCTATATCCCATGTTTCTTCATGAACTTTATTTCATGCTTTTATACTATAGTTTTATTCTTCCTCCCCCCCCCCCTTCACCTGACTTTAGTATCATACTGAGATCTTCTTGTCTCAGCATCACTCCCACTCTTTCCCAATGCATCCCCCTCATTTCCATGGTTCCTTTAATATGGCTTATGGCTGCTCCCCTTTCACCTTCTTGGATCCTCAATCCATAGAATCCCTTCTGCCTGCTGGGGTGTTAACACTCTGTCTCCAGTATCCCTTACCAGGGCTCACTTCTTCTGTTTTTGCTTTCTCTTTACTCTATCCCTTTGCTGTCTGTTTTCTCCTTATCTCTTATCTGAGGACCTTTATCTAAATCCAGATAGTTTTGTGGATATCTTCAGTTGCCCTTTTTTCTCTCTACTTAGGCCAGGGTCTTGTCTTTGGCTCTCTTTCTTCTCTCATGGTTTCTATGTAGTTGAGATCTATTCAGACATGACACCATTTCTCTATCATTAATCTTCCTCAGTCCTTTCTATGTGGCTTGCATCTTGCTCCACTGATTTTCCATGAGGTCTTTAAGATGTTCCTCACACCTTGGAGTTTTAGGCAGAAGCTTCTTGCCATGAATTTTCTTTCACTTCTTTAGTCTCCTGTCTTGCCCATTTCAGTGCATCCAGTTGTCCGATCCTTCTAGGGAGAATCCGGGTGGGTAGCACAATGTGGTGGGAAGTAGGATATGGGTGTCCATGCCAGTGTAATGCAGGTCACCTCCTATTATGTTGTATGTCACTTTCCTGGTGTTTTTGACAAGCTGGGTAGTGCAAAATGTTCTCCTTGGGAGACAGGAAGGAACCTTAGTTCCCATTCCTTTATGTATAGTGAGTAAATTTTACAACAGAACACATACCAAACCGTACAGTCTAATTATTTCCCTAGCCACGGTACATCTCATGTTCATGTGACCTATTGTCTACAAATGCTTGGTTTATCATGTATTTTTTCACCTATCCATGTGACACATTGGCTCATTTTTGCTTTTCTTCTTTTATACTTCCATCGGGGTGTAGAGTATACCCTGCCTGAGAAGGATACAGTCTCTCACAAGTGTTACCCCCTCTGGTAAGCCCCCTCCTATTGGGTGTCATGCTCCATGGGGTTTCCCTTATGCCTTTTCTGAAGAGAGCTCATCTTGGTTTTCTTATTTACACCAGCCTCTCCACCACATCAATCTGGGATTCTAGTTACTAGGTTGAGAGAAGTAAGTGGATTGTTCCAAAAGTTAACATTTGTTTTTTACCTGAAAATGTATTTCCAATAGATTCTTAACTCTCTTCACACCTTCTCCTCCTTCCTCCACACTACCAGTGCATATTATTTTTGCCTCATCTAAGAATGAAGTTAATTTCAAGTGCAAGTGCTTATGGTGATCTACTGCAAGTGGAGGATGTGTTGCCATCTTCTTGGTGGAGGGCTATCGCCACATGATGATTACATCGTGTACTAACACATTTTACGTCAAAACACGTGATTTAGGTGTGAGACAGCTCAAGGCTAATGGCATGTGCAAATTTTCAATGGCAGGTATAAGAGAAACAGATACTGTGTTCAGTATCTGTTGGAAATATGTTTTCAGGTAAGGTAAATGTCAACTTTACTTAATATCAGAAAGAAATGAATGCTTGTTGAGTGCATATTACATATATTTTGCCACAAAACTGACATGGATGCACTGTACTAGTAAATGTAAGTGTTTTCGCCTGTTCTTACAATTAAACATGCAATTTGCTGTCTATGCATTTACACTTAGTGTAATAATGTGTTACCTCATGAGTGGCAGTGGTGAAGAATATTAGTTGATATTGAATTGGGTTTCAGTAGAGAAACAGTGAAGAAGTTACATTTGAATCACTTGTATCATTATACTTACCTCGAGGAATAGATGCTCTTAAGACAAAGTACTACAGCTGAGAGATTGGCATTCCATATATTTTAAGAAGTGAAATGTGTATTGTTTTTCTAGGAATATGAGTTACAATCTTATCTTTTTTCCTTGATGACAACTTCACCTGTATAACATTTAGAGCAAATCTGCTTTCACATGCACCCTCCATCAAAAAACAAAAAAACTTTCATTTTTTCTAACCACTAGTTCCTAGTCAGTCAATAGGGAGTAATAATTTGTATGAATAATCCAATGAACCAGATAATGAAGTATATAAGCAAATATGAATGAAGGGTTTGTTAAGATATTATTTTTTCTGATAGAGAACAGACTTTAAAAAAGAAACTCACCATGCTAACTGTAAAATGACACAAAACTCACTGTGAAAATCTCCCAGTTGACTGAAATACTTGTTGGTGAAAGTCTAAAATACAAGTTTTTTTTCCCATTATTCACTGATTGACAACTAAATTTAACATAAATTACCATTAATAGTTGAATGTCGTTTAGAAGCTAGTGACTTCATTTCTGTGATTTGAATTATCAGGAGTGTTTGTTACATAATTCTCATTACTTTGATTCTTTATATACAGCAGGAGCAAATTTATAATCACAAGTAATGTACAAACTTTTTTATTTTTGCTAAGTTTTACATAAAACAAAACAATTCTGAGATTCTATAAAAGTGCAAAGTTGTGCTTTCTTGAGCCACTGAAGTTCTTATATTATCAGCACCATAATTAATATGTTTAACCTTGGTTTATTTTTTGACAGCAACCTTACTGGGTAATTCCTTTATAGTTCTGTGGACTTTTGGGAAAGATCTTTGGTCACAGAGGTGACTAATTGTTATCACATACTTGAGCTGACTGTAAGCCAGATTGCTAAGCAAAGAAATAAAAATACATTCATTATTTCAATAAAAAGAGTGTCCTAACACTTTGGTGATTCTCCTGTTGAAGTATTTGAAAATGTTTATATGTGTGTGCTTTAAGTGGCCTATTAAATTAAATTTTTGTTGATAATTACATAATAAATGTATATGAATTATTTTCATAGTGCCATGTTTTTATTGTGGTCTTTTCAAAGAAACTACTGAATGAGCTCTTGGAGACAAACTTTCCTGAACAGGCTGAATATGCTAAAACTGACCCCATTTTGTTTGGTGATTACCGTACGGCTTTGGAGGAAGGAGGTTCTAGAGTTTATGAAGATATACAGGATTACGAAGCAGCAAAGTCCCTGTTCCAGGAGGTAGTTGTTAGTCCATAGATATTTGGCTTCTTGTGTGTGAACATTAACTGGGCACTATTTTTTTACTTTATGTACTGAGTGAAGTATTGTATCACTCACATATAAGCTACTAAATTTAATTGCTTGTAATCCAGTGGTCATCAAGGGCACCAATCTATACTGTAAGGTGTGGGAAAAAAATTGCATTTCGTTTGCATTAGGGGGTGGGAGAACCTGGGTAAACATCCAGAGGTCACTAATTACTATCACATGTCATTTTTTTTTCTGAGTAGGTACATAATACAATTATTATAATTTAGCTTAAATGTGAAAAACATAGCTGTAATCTTAAAAAATATGTTCTAGTGTTATAGATGTATAAGGGTGGGTGGTACTCGTCCTCTTATTCCCTCCACAATCGGCACCTATGCTTTGTTTGTTTGTTTGTTTTTTTTTTAATTTTCGCGCAAAGCTACATGAGGGCTATCTGCTGTAGAATGATGATTAGATAGAATTCCCAAATTAAAATCTGTAATTTCTAATGGGCTAACTCTTAAGTTTTTATAACTGGAGTTCGATCCAGTTCTGTTATCTTTGATATTAGTTCTCTGCAATTTTTGAAGTGGATTTGGTTAAAAAACATTATGGACAACTCCATACCAGTTTTAGTATGTCAACTGATAAGATAATATTGTTTACTAGTTCATCTTGTAGCCTTTTTAATTAACTTAGAAGTGATTTCTTATATTTTCTTAATAAATGTACTGTAGCATTGATAAAAAGGAAAACAAGAAACTCATTTTTCTCTTCAGTATTTATGTCGATATGTGAAAGATGCATACCAAAGGTTTTTAATCAGTCGAATTTCAGCTATTTATCAAATTGGATTTTATTACAATAGGTAATACATAAAGAAATTGCTAAATTCTAGTTTAGATACAAGTTTCTTATTCTTGTCATTTCTTAGGTGTCTCAGTTATGTTACATGTTAGATGCATGTCTTCCTCATGACTGCATGTCTTCCACTGTTCTGGAGTGCTACTTCCTTCAAGCCCTTTACTGGTCATTAGGTGCCACATTACTTGAAGATGGAAGAGAAAAATTAGATGCTCATGTGAAAGAAATATGTGGCCTGCTCTCTGTTTCAGATACTCCAGAGAAACCTGCTAGAGCAGGTTAATAATATGTTTAATCTATTACCTAAATGTTTAGTTAACAAAATCACTTTTCATGCTAGATAAAAGTTTTGGTTTTGATTTATACAAATTTGTTAATATTGCTAATAGTTTTTAAGTGTTAAGACTGCAGGTTTTCTGAACTCTGATGATTGTTATTGGAGAGAAATTTGTAATTATTGAGGTATTATGTCTTGGCATAAGCTGACAGTTTAAATAGTTTCTCAGGAGTCTTACCTAAACAGAAATATAATAGAAACATATACTTGTAAGGTTGAATATATGTACAATTTTCTTGAAAACTAAAACAAAACTTGAAAATGTAATATTAAATAGAAAAAAAAAGGAAATTTTAATTTTATCTGTTTAAAAACTGATTTTGAAAGCCTTTACTTAATTTGTTGACTTACTAGGTTTTTGTTGATCAGTGTAGACCCTAAATACTAAATTAATTATCTACCTCACAGGTGAAATTCCAACTTCAGAAAAAACACTGTATGAGTTCTACTTTGATGGAGAGAAGCAGGTTTGGATAGCATGGAACCAGATGGTTCCAAAATACCAATATGATCCTGGGAAGAAATTCAGTGAAATCCTAGTCCCTACAGTAGACACTGTTCGGTCAACTTGGTTGTTGGGATTGGTGAGAGATATCCACCGTCCAGCAGTTTTGGTGGGAGACACAGGCACTTCCAAAACTGCTACAATATTAAACTTCTTAAGACAACTGGATCAAAACTCAAATGTAAGTGTTTTAAATAAAACAAATCTATTGTAGTTAATGAAATGAAAGGAAGAACTTGAAGAATTTTAGAATGTTTTTGACACAATCAGTCTGATAGTAGCTATTAAATAACTTAAAAATTGTGTCATTATTATATTTGATGAAATTGGTATAACGTTTTTTCTGTGTTCTTGTTTTTTAAATGAAAATCCATTTCCTTGATATCTTTTGTACTATACATATCTGCCTTATCTCAATACTAACAATGTAACAAATCAAAAAGAGTAAGAATACTTAAATACTCTACTTAATGAATAATAATCCTTCTGATAGGAATAGTAGTTCACTTATTTTTTATTGTAAGAAAGAGAAAATTTCTGTAAATATTTTAATGATACTTGCAACTTGCTTGAATTAATGTGACAGTCTGTTTTCCATAAAATTTTTAATTTCTTTTATGATATCAGTCAGATGAATATTAATTTACTATGTAAATTGATAGTGGGTTAATAATAAGTTTTCAGTAAATTAATAGTGGGTTAACAATAATTTTTCAGTAAATTAATAGTGGGTTAACAATAAGTTTTCAGTAAATTAATAGTGGGTTAACAATAAGTTTTCGGTAAATTAATAGTGGGTTAACAATAAGTTTTCGGTAAATTAATAGTGGGTTAACAATAAGTTTTCTGTAAATTAATAGTGGGTTAACAATAAGTTTTCGGTAAATTAATAGTGGGTTAACAATAAGTTTTCGGTAAATTAATAGTGGGTTAACAATAAGTTTTCAGTAAATTAATAGTGGGTTAACAATAAGTTTTCGGTAAATTAATAGTGGGTTAACAATAAGTTTTCTGTAAATTAATAGTGGGTTAACAATAAGTTTTCGGTAAATTAATAGTGGGTTAACAATAAGTTTTCGGTAAATTAATAGTGGGTTAACAATAAGTTTCAGTAAATTAATAGTGGGTTAACAATAAGTTTTCAGACATAACATTTTCATGATTGCATAACCAGCATTGCATTGAAGGAGAACTTCATTGAAATGAAAAAGGAACTCAAAAATTTAAAGGGAAAAAGAAAATGCTTTAAGAATACTTATTATTTGTGCATAGTATAGCATTAAGTTGCTTTATTCAGTTACAAAACACATACTACTAGCCATTTTACCATAAACTGTTTTGATAAGAAATGTTAAAATGTTGTTTAAATTTTTCAAATCAGTTCCTGCTACCAATGAATTTTTCATCAAGAACGGCTTCTATAGATGTTCAGCGAAACTTGGAAGCAAATGTTGAAAAAAGAACCAAAGACACCTATGGTCCTCCTGTGGGGAAGTGTCTTTTACTGTTTATTGATGACATGAACATGCCTCAAGTGAGATGTTATTTTGTTTCACTATTTGACAAATCTTTTTAATTTTTTAGTACGTTATTCTTTTATATTTCAAGGTATATTAAAAAAACAATCTTCAGCATCTTTTAGTTTGTGTAAAATGCATAACTAATTATTCTAGTACATGTGGCAGTAATTTGTTTGAGCTGTTTATGGAACTTAAAACTGCACTAACTTGTAAAATAGATCAGTGGATGAAGGTGAAATATGCTTAATATATTGCTGTTATGAACTAGTAAAATTAATTAAAAAAAACACCGTTGAACAAAAAGGTAAAAAAATACACTAGCATGCTAAAAGGTCAATTAATTTATTATTACTCTTAATAAAGTACAGAAATTGTATTTTAAAAAACTAGGATGGAAAAAAAAATATTAGACGAACAAGTTGCTTAGAATTTAAGATAAACACAAATTGGAGGAATTCGTAATTTTATTTTGTGTAAAGCAACATTTCCCTGAACATTTTTCAGCTAATCACTTGTAATGAGATATCAGTGACTACACTGACTAAAAGAAGCAAAATAAAAAATCTAGAGGATGAGAAATAATTGTAATGCTATTCAAGTACCAATACTAGATATATTAAACCCAGCATTGCATGAAAAAATAAATAAACTCAGTACAAATTTTGTACATTATCCTTTACAGTAGGATAAAAATAAATTCATCTTACCATGTTTAGACTAGTGCAATGTACAATAGTCTTGAGTCGAGGTCCGACTGGTCTACCATGAACCACACCTTCTAAAATAAAATCCAAACAGTCCGGAACATATTTGTCAAATAGGTCCCCAAATTCCTTTTGTTCATATTCAGAATCTCGGTTCAAAAGCCATCGTTCCCAATATGGGTGATAACCTAGGTTCTTAGGGTCTACATAGACCATGCCACAGCGAGAAACAGTAGCTGGAGAAGCATATTGTAAGTCACCAACCTAAAATACCAGACAGAAAAATAAACACAGAAATTCTCCTAATTTTTATAATTCCAGCAATTTTTCATAATATTCATCTTAATTTTCTTTGAATATCCCATTACAAAAAATATGTACATACACATATGCAAGAAAAATTAATTAGGTATATTCTGTATTCCCATATTGAAATGTTATAAGATCTTATTGTTTGTAGCTATGTTCTGTTTTACAAGTGACTTTTTAAAGTTTTGGTCCCTTTCCGTCAACCTTATAGCTACTCTAAAGATTCTCAGCAATTGTTAATTGCGCTTATAACACACAAAATGTTATAAAGTCTTATTGTTTGTAGCTATGTTCTGTTTTACAAGTGACTTTTTACAGTTTTGGTCCCTTTCAGTCAACCTCTAAACATTCTCAGGAATTGTTGATTGTGCCTATAACAGACAAAAAACACAGCTAACTTGAAAACTTATATGTCTCAAAGTAATAAAACATTCAATCTAAAATAAATTCAAAATCCATTAGTATTTAGTAATTAATCAAAACTGCGAGACTATATGCTACAAAAACATGATTAATGATGTAAAAGATTGCATGTTAAAGAGGACCAGCTGGCCTAAAAACAAATACTACCAATAGATGATCAACTTAATATTGGATAAAGACAAAATATAAATGGTGTTTAGCTAAACCTATTTGTACCTCCTTACTTAGAAATAGTTAAGTTAGTGAAAAATAACTGCTCCACTTAACCTATGTGAGATAATAAAAATCCACATATCAGACATATATATGAGATGCTGGTATGAGCTGGTCAACAATTTATCACAGATAAGACACTACCTGTGTCTCACATACAAGATTAATTAAGTGAAAGCAGTAGATAAAAAATAACTGATGAAACCAATAAGTGAGAAATGTAGAATATTTGAATTAAAAAAGCACAAATAATAATAATATTTTATAAAAGAGAAATTGACGTGACTGGAGTCAACTAAAGAAACTACTAACCTCAAACAACAAAGCACAATGCTTTTGAAGTCTTATTCTTTCCCCATTAGCTAGTGTCAAAAGTCGATTATCATCCATCACAGAGTTCATATTTTCTACCCAAAGAGCATCAACATCTCCATCAAACAAGATGTAGCGTCGTTCGTCTCGTTCTGTAGGACGATTAATCTCCCTGAATATTGATGACAGAAGTCCATCTGTCCAATCTCTGGTCAAAGGGTCAAGAATACCATAAAGCTCAACCACGCTGACAGCCTTGGGATTTAAAGTATGAACTTTGGTTGGAGTTCCTAGCCTATCAAATTCAATTTATGAAGCATGGGTTATTTCTTTGTATAATTTCACACAATTATTGAAGTTACAGTTATAAATCACTACACAACCCAATACAACTTCACTATTATGGACAGACCTGTAAGACTGAAATAACCAAAAACAAATAAAGGGTATTTTTAATAATTATTTGATTGATAATTTTTATTTAAAAATCAAATACACTGTACTTAATTGATGATACATTATAATGCAGTTTTGTTTGAGAAATTCTATAATATACTGAAAACATATAATTTAAATAAAAATAATGTTATAATGAAAATAAAATATGATAAACCATTCAATTTAGTATGAATTTTGATAGATTTAAACCAAATGAGCAAGATCTGATTTACCTTATAAATGTATTCATGCTCATGATCTCAGGTTTGATCAATTTTATTTTTGAGTTACATTTTCGATCTAATCTGTAACTAGTTTCAGTTCTAAGCCATTAATAAACGTGATCTTAATTTCAAGTAATAAATTCGATCAGATTTATTATTAGAATTTTAATTACAGAACATTTATTTCAATTAGAAAAGTTTTGATTCAATCTGCTCACTTAATCTGAGTCTTGATCAAAGTTTTAATGACCACAGATTTTCCTCCCCCAGTTGGTCCAACTATCATGGTTGTATGTCGTGTCATCATGGTTTCATACATCTGAATTACTTTGTCTACCTATAAGTCCGGAATCATTATTGTTCTTTTATTACAAATACATATATATTGTATTAAGATATACAAATATGGTCTAACAAAGATTAAACATAAAAATACCCTTTAAAATTATATATTATACTTTTAAAGTATATAACAAAACTTAAGTATTTAATACATATTTATATATTTAACTATGATCATTATTACTTTGCTAACAGTACCTTCTAAATTATTCACTATATATATATTTTTTTCCATTTATATATATTTGTGCATTTATTGTGTTTTTACTGTTCATGTGCAAAACAATAATGAATGTTGGCTCTTTATATGTACACACACTTCTCTCTCTCTCTCTGTGTATACATAAACATCTCATTATTGTCATATCAGATAATGTCTTCCCGCCTTTCATCTTCAGAAGGCGGAAGACTTTCAAAACATCGTCCTCTACATTTATAGGTTTCTACAACAGGCAGTTGCTGTCCATTGGAAACTTAGATTCAACTATCAGTTATTCACGAAATAAAACAATAACAAAGAAATAGGTCACTACAAGAACAACAACAGAGTGATTTATGACAAGGTTTAGCAAAAGGTGATCTCCCACAAAACACGTCACTGGAATGTAATTCTAACAAAAAATACTGCACTAATTATTTCAAAATTCTTATAATTATTTAATATATTGCAGGAAAGGTATTAGTCTTATATGTTGTTTTAACACACTGGAGACATTTTAATCAAAAAGACAACTCTCTTTGCAAAGTTAAAAAAATCACTCACAGTACCTAACTTAGTAAAAAAAAAAGTTGCATTAGCCATGTTTTCTCAGGGTATTTGTCATACTGACTGAATAACGTGAACGTTTTAAGTACTACTGTTATTAACCCTTTCACTGAGGCTGAGATGTATATTTCCCAGTGCTCCCACTTCGGCTGGGACAAATGTTTCCCATTGTCATTACTGTTTATGCCTTTCTCTGATGAGTCCACGTTCATCATGGAGAGCTATCATCCTCTTGTCTCATTGCCTCTTCATCATCACGCATTTGAATACCACTTGACTCACTTTCACTATCTTCTCAGCTATCTGAGTCAAGCACAACAAGCATATTTACATAGTAATTAGGGTTACTACTTGCCGCTCTAGCGATGAGGGCGAGGTCGGCAAGCAGTTGTCATACATTCATCTTAGGCATTTTGTTGGTTACTGAAGGTCTGCAGGGAAAACATTGAAAGAAACCATATATTAACATTAGGTGGGATGCCAATAAATACTTTCCAACTCATTTTACTCCCATACGTCACACAAGGCAAATTTGAATGACAGTGGGAAACATTTATCCCAGTCGCAGTGTAAGGGGATGGAAGCACTGGGAAATATACATTCCAGCCACAGTGAAAGGGTTAATACAACATATGAAGGAGTATAAGCAGAATTTTGATTAAAAGCTTACTTCTCACCTGATCAGGTGATAAGATATATTTATCTTCCTTTAGGATTTTTTCCACAGTATCAGTGAACTTTGGATAACGTACTCGAGGACAGTCCAGTCCAGGAAATAGGTCACTAATTAGACCCAGAAATAAGGGTACATCCTCGAAAACAAACTTGGGTAAATTCATGTCTCTTAATGCTCTCATCAAAACCATATCCTACAGAAACATTAAAGACAGAAAACATACATACACCAGTGTATCTAAAAAAACTGCGAGATGGTGGAGTCATGTAAGTGACATGTTTGCAGGTTCATTTTCTCATGATGCTTAAGATTTCTCAAAAATTTAAAAAGAAACTATGTTGAAAGCATGAAATTGGCTATAAATGTGCATCTTTTGAAGATTAAACAACAAAAAAAATTAAACTATTTGCACAACACTGACAAATCTTAACTAGTTTTTTGTTTCATAATTTATAAGAAACACTCTTTAAGTGAAAAAAAAAAGGTATTTTTTGTGCTATCAATTTGTGAAAGCTGATTGTCTGTTATTTTTTAAATAATAAATAAATACAATCCTGAAATAGGAAGACATACTTTTACATCTTACATAAAGATAAGACAAATAATGATCAGGTGATCTACTTCTAATTCTTGAAAATTAATTCAACTCATCCAATTACTGATTATGTAAATAAAAATTTCTACAGAATGAAAGAACCAAAGCTTATATCTCAAAAACACGTAGTTGTGTCTTGAACTTGAATAAACATAAGAAAAGCTATGATAAGTTTTTAATTCTAATGTAGGTTTTGCTACACACAAATAGCTATGAAATTTGAAAAATAACAAGGTATTACTAATTACATTCAATTTATAACTTTTTACAAATGGATTCTGAAATAACATTTTAAATTTCACAATATTGAATTTATCATTTAATATGCACGTCATATGCGAAATTACTCCACAAGGTAACTTATGTTCCATCTTTTC